TGGATTAGTGTTTGTGTTATCTGGTATCCAGGCGACACAAACCACGGCAAATATTCATTGAGACTTGTGTGTCAGATGTGTCTTTGAATAAACTAGTTCGGTAGCAGAACAAATATGTTCCAGAGCCATCAGTAGCTGTTTCTGAGCATTGGATTTAGTGCAGCATATATGCCATATATTGTACATAGGAGCGGTTTACGGGGTCTCTCCTTGGTGCTGAAATCAACTGTTTAACAACATTCTACCATCAGCGTTCTACATTAAGCCCCTGTCACACATTCAGAACCTTCCCCCGAACACCGGCCGAACACATTCGGCTAGCGTTCGAGAGCAGTCTGACCAGCCTTAGGCCACGCCTACCTTTTAATGAAAACGAATTTGAGTTAAATTTGAGTCAAATTTGACCCCTGAACACACGTTCGAAAACTGCTGACTTACAGCGGCCAATGTACGAACCCCCCGACCAACCCGCGAATGTTTTAAACATTTTGAAACATTTGGCTGGCGCAGCCAAATAGTAGCCACCGATCTATATATATATTTACCGTAGCGCACCATTCCATACCATACCATGTCGTAACCTATACCGGTACCACACTGTATACCGTATCATACCATTCGCCATGCCATACCATACCGTGCAATACATATATCAACAGCAGGTGACCTCACACAAGGACATATGAGACATGCCATGTTGGATATATTGTGCTCGGTGAAAATAAATGATGTTGACAAATTCCATTTACTTCAAATTGATAACTCCTTCCTAGTAGGATAAGACTGACAGGGGAAATATGAACGTGATAGAGAAGAAATCCAATAAGCAACTCGGTCTGCCACGACTTTCTTACACATCTGAATTCATTTCCTTTGGGAATAGATGGTAAATAACATTCAAAGGTGGCCAGCATGCAGGATATATGAAATATCGATATAGAAATCGTTTGGTCTCCGAATATTGAGTTGTAAGTAGAGTAATATGTTCTATTTGACATAGTCGTCAATATGGGTATATGGATTTATTACTCACTGGCGTAGACTCAAGATTTTATCGAGTGGTGAGTTTATTTTATTCACATTTATATTTTGGGGAATTGGGCCAAAGTATACCTTACTTTTCAAGGCCCTATCCTCTCCACATATTAGATAACATGCATCAACAAGGAACGTTAACAAAAACAGGTGCCAAGAACTTTGTTTTGAATTGTGGCATCTAATGTATAGAATTTTCAAACGCAACGTAGTTCTATTATCCGTTTGGCACACTTTTGTGGACCTAGCTATCAGAGCACTACACCGTTAACTGGCCTTGAGGTGCCAAGACAAGCCAAGTGACAAAATACCCAATTTGGTCTGCCTATGAAATTCAAATGAGCTGAAAACAAGTCACTTGCTCACTTGCTATTAATAATAAATGGGTGGGTACAATAAATATCATCCGTGGCACCTTATTTTAAACCATTAATATAACCAGGTGATGAATCATCTCAATCTATAGTCATATGCTCAGGTATTGTCGTAATGTATTTATGCTGAAACACACCAGCTTCTGTATTGCTGTATTACCCTTAGACGAAAACACACTAGCTTCGCAGGCACGTGGCGCGGCGGCAGCTGGCTATATTACACCGAACGACTTGTTACACCTAACCCTTGAACATCTAACTGTAAACATTATTTAAAACCATCTAGTGATGATGCTACTACTGTACTTGGTGGCAGAGAGTTATAATCTACGATATTTCTAGGAAAAAAATAGTTTTTGAACAACTCAATCCCTGGTTGAAATTCTGGTACTTGAAGGCATGACTATTTATTTCTTGTTCTTTTCTGAGCTGGTGTTAGGTACTTGGTAGTTGGTACATCCACCAGTTTATTGGTTATTTTGTACATTATGCATAGTCTGGAAATTTCTCGCCTATCTTCCAGTGACATCCTTTGTAGATTTGTTTCCATTTTTGTTAGTTTTTTGCGAGCAGTTACGGTTTGCAACTATAGGCTTGCAAAATTAAAGGCATCCGATGCAGTCTTTAGGGCTTGGAAACCCGATTTTTTCAAAGCCAATATTCTAGTCATTTATCTACATACTGAGCTGAAACAACATTATCGCAGTGTATATTGACCCTCATGGAGCAACAATTCCCAAAAATCTGGAGGGAAATGGTTATTGGAAGGACCCTGGGCTGATTTTTAGGGTACTTCCCAGAAAATAAAGGACTCATCTTTGGGCTTGTTTCTGCAGTTTTGAATGCGCAAAGTATGAAATGATGATTTAAATGTGCTATTGTGAAGCAGTATATGTCAACATCACAAAGATTGCCTTATTCAGAATATTTCCAGTTTTGCTGCCCTGAAATCGTATTGGATGCCTTTAAAACTTCTGTCGTACTTTCCGTATTGGTATGGAAAGCAGTGCACTATATGACGCATCTTGTCTTCGATCGTGAAGCTGAGACCACTCACACAACCACTAGTGAAAAGCACGTATCGACCGGACAGTACGGACAAATCGTTGAATTACATTATAATGGCTAAAGACCCGCCGAAAGTCACCATGTGGCCTCTGTTTCCTGCTGTTTCTGTTGGATAAATGGCATGAATACGGCGCGTTTAAATCCAATAAACAGTACTTCAAACTAACGAATCGACCGAGGCTCGTTTTCACTGAGCTCTATACAGTTTGGCACTGTCCCAACCATGTCGTAACGCGGCGTATGGGCACAATATATACTGCACGTAACATTTGTTACAACATGAAACATAGCTCTATGGGTGTTCTTTGACTATGCCTGCTGAGTCTGTGTGATCTAAAAAGACTGAACAGAAGGGCAATTTTCTGTAGGGACATGTTTGAATTACTGTCAAACTATAGCTAAAGGCATGCAAAGCTGGAGATAACTGCAACACATGCATCATCGGGGAGCCAGATTGCGCTTGGCAGTTGTTTCGTAACAGGGGGGACTGGCGTGATCATATCATACTTGGTGAACCGTCACGATTCGGCTCAGTGTTGGCCTGAATATTGAGCTATCTTTACTCTCAGTTGGTCACTAAAGCTGGCAAGTGAAGTTATTTGTATCATTCTACCACTGAATTGAGCCAAAGGCTATATCTAAACTTCCACTCTATGCAGAGCATAGGAGTGGTGCCCATCTCCATTTCCGTAGGCCTTGGGCAACACACAGTTGTGCAAGGCACTACAGCAGGGGGCTGGTCCGCTGGTAGTGCTGTGTGTTTGACCTTCCCACACTCTTTCTCATATGTGCTGAGTGCTAAGCAGAGAAAGAAGTGTGTACCATTTTTAAAGTCTTTGGCATGACCCGACCGGGTTTGAACTCACGACCTCCCGGTTACAAAGCGAGCATTCTACCAATTGAGCTATTGCACTATGTCTTCCATAGCTTATTGTTTATATATATGCAGTCTTCCTCCTAGATACCTGTATTCAAGATGAATATAAGTCTACTTCGTGAATATTATTTCATTAACACTGTCTGATACAGAAAAAAAGACTTGCCAAAGAAGAATATACATGACATCATTTATTACAGAACGTATTACAAACATATTGACGAAAGTTTACATGTTGATAGTACCCTAACGTAACATACTTCGACCAGAATTTCGTTCATGTTTCATAACAATCAATATCATCATTACAAAGAAGTACTTAGTACATGTACAATAGATGTATGCGGATATCTGTGGCTCCGGAATATATATATATATCTTATGTTATCAACAACATATACTTAAAATGGCGTTCTGTTGTTCTATTGGTTTATACAGGAGCATGAATAGTACTTCTTGTTATATGGCTTTTTATGGCACAGAAATACTGATAATTTCATTGTATCAGGTGGAAAGAAGAAATTTATTAAGAACTAGAAAGGTAACATTAGCAAAGCAAATGCAAAAATTTTACCTTCGTATATACGGTCTGCATTGTTATTCTTATTCAAACACATTCATATACATGGTGACAGGAATCTAAATCCCTCCTGCTATAAAATTGCAACATGATGTGACCCAACACTAGCTACCATGGTGACAGACGTCTGGTTCAGGTCATTGACCTTATTTGTTTGGAGAAGAAGAAGAGGAAGAAGAAACAGAGCAAAAACAATATGTTTCCTTCTGCGAAGGTAAACATGATAAAGAGTACATCCCCTGTCACACATTCCGAACCTTCCCCCGAACACCAGCCGACCAAGGTTGGCTAAAATTCGGGAGTAGTCTGACCAGATTTAGGCCACGCCTCTACGTTTCAACAGGAATTGAATCGAATTGAGTCCAATTTGACCACCAAACTCGCCACGACATTCTCCCGAACACCAGCCAACCTGCATCACCGAACCTCCCGTCCACATCCAAGTGTTTAACACATTGAAGCATTCGGCTAGTACAACCGAACACTAGCCGACAACAGCCAACCTTGCTCCCGACCTAACCATGGTTGAGGGAAGTTCGGCTAGTCTTCTGGGGGAGTTCTTACTCAAACAATTTCATATATGTTGTGACAGGAGTCTAAATCCCTCCTGCTATTAAATTGCAACATGATGTAACCCAACACTAGTTACCATGACTAGTGTTCTGGGGGCCAAATTTATGAATGCGTGACAATGGCTTAACAGATTATATCTGTAAAGGATAGGAAAAGTCTTTAAAATAACACCTCACCAGTGTTAATATTCTGGCTCGTGGTTCTGTAAGCTGCTAACTCCTGATTGGTGTGGACCCAGGAGTAGTTATGTAACGGCGAATCGATGAGCCGTTAACTTCAATTTTATGGACTGCAATTTGAACAAACGCGTTTTTTACTATACGAGCTGGTGTCAATTACCTTGTAAATAAGAAGAATATAGCCTAATACATAATATAAATTTCGATTACATAATTCATTTTTGTACCTAGACATCATGTTATGAATGAATAAAATATTTGACAACAGGTGTTTTGTTGTTGTTGTTGTTTATATTGATATGTCTTGTCTGTTTTGAAAGTCTTGGTTAATTGTTGCGATGTTTGCTTAATGCATATGGTTGGTACATTTGCAACACATTCTTTTGATAATTTTGCGGAAAGCGTCTCTGAAATCTTTGTTGAACAGAGTGTAGATGAGCGGATTGAGCGCGCTGTTACAGTACCCTAACCACACGAAGAACCGAAACAGCAGTGGGGACAGTCTACAGGTAGTACAGACAGTTAGAACCAGGTACGAGACAAAGAACGGAAGCCAACACATGACAAACGCACCCATGACAATCCCGATCACCATGGTCAGTCGTCTCTCTTTCGACAGGCGGATTCTCTGTCGGAGTTTCTCGTGTCGTTTCCTGCCTTCGTCGCGTTTTCTGCGCTTGCAGGCCCGCTGCAGCGCCATGGAGTTCCCGTTGGCGTCCCGGGGCACGGGGGTAGGGCTGGGGCGTAACCCCGGGGTGGGGGTGGTGTTCCCTCCCTGATTGTCGTTACTAGCTTCGACTATGACCTGATCGTCCGGAGTTACCGGCTTTTCTCCAGGGGTAGGCGGAGAGACCGGGGGAGACAGCGGGGTTGAGTACGTGACCATCTCCTTGCCTTCCCCGTTCACCATGACCGTTTTAGGCTTGTCCTCGGTCGCGATGCCGTCCGCCCGCGACATGTTTTTGAAAAATCGCCCCATGATCTTGAACTTGGCGATCCCTACCGGTGACATGGAGGGCTTGTCGGTGTTGATAGGATAGGCGGCCGTCTGCATGGACGGGTGCCGCCTGACACGGGTCAGAGCCACGCTGAAGACCTTAATGTTCATGCCGAATACGATCGTCAGAGGGATGTAGAAAGATCCAATGGTGGAGTATAACACGTACCCTGGACTGTCGCTGTACTCACACTTCGGGTACAGGTCGGCGCTCTGTGGGACCTGAGCCTGCCAGCCGAACAGTCCGAACAGCGGCGGGAGGGAGATGACAGCGGACAGGACCCAGGCGGCGGCGATCATACAGCCGGCACGTTTGGAGTTGGTGTTCTTGAAGTACTGCACGGCCTGTGTGACGGACCAGTACCGGTCCACGCTGATCATGCACAGGTTCAGGATAGAGGCGGTGCAGGCGAAGACATCCAGGGCCAGGAACACCTCGCACATCACCCGTCCGAAGTACCAGTACCCCATGAGTTCGTTTACAAGAGCCGGTGGCATGATGACCAGCCCTACGGCCAGGTCGCTGATGGCCAGAGAAGCGATAAACCAGTTCTGGACCCGCTGGACTGACCGCTCCATGAACACAGCCATGCAGACCAGTACATTCCCCACGATCGTCAACAGTATAATTATCACAATGGTTATAGATATAGCAGTTACCTCTCCAGTTGTGTACTGTAAGTTATACTCTGAAGTCCCATTCGTGCCTTCCGACTGGTCTTCTGGTGCAAAAATACCCATCGCAGCAAAAATCCGTACCTCACTGCTCCGTAACTCAAAGCAGAATACACTTGGTCAACGTGCTCGCACAAGGTCCAAATCCACGGTTAACTGTTGCATCCTTCTATAAGTCATTACTGATGACAACTGGCCTGCTCTTACTTGAAAACCGGTCTGAGTATCTGTAAGCTCCGTACAGACAGAATGGCTAATTTCGTCAGCAGCACGGACCGTTCCTATTGCCAGATTGCCACGCCACCACCTGTCAATCATAGCTCCTAACGGACACGCCCCGGGCATGCGCCCTGGAGCATGGTACAGGCGTGCTTAAAGTAATTCACTGGGAGTCACGTCATTAGGCCACAGCAAGTAAATTTTATGGATGACATCATCCGCAGACTACAAATCTAATGCGAGCGGGAAAAAAAAACAAGACGGGCCGAAAAAACAAGGTTCCTACATTTTAAACTTTTGACTCAATCATTGTACAAATGGTTTTAATTCAGTGAGAACATCACATATACACAGCCAGCATCACATATCTCTGCTTCAAAGTAAGAAACAAAACATCAAATCAGAGCCTTTTCTTGTCTCCTCTCTTCATAGTTATCTGCCATCCACCTTCCGGCATGGCAACAGACATATATATATGCATCTTTGCCCATTTTCAGCATGTTGACCACTGTCTGAAGGCAACGAAATTTCTTTTTTTTTCTGACCAAAATCAGGCGAAAATTAATACCCGCGCTGATGTCATCCATAAAAATTACTTGCTGTGGCCTTAGTGTCAAATAGCTGTCAGCTGCTTCTATCACTCCTTAGAGTGTAGTGACCTAGGTCAGTGATAAAGAACACCGCTAGTCTAATCTTTTTAATCTCACATCGGATACGGGCAGAGAGAAATCTTTGACGAAGCTGCAAAAACTCCATGTTATTCAGTGTGCGTCGCTATTAGCATATTCTGAACATTTTGCTAGTCAAGCTGAGAGTGCAATGTTCCTTTTCAGTTACTTTCAGTTACTTTCGACATGTCTCAATAAATAGACTTTTAATTTCTTGTCTATCTTTTTTTAATATTAACGTGAATCAGCCCTATCCCATAGCATACTGATAAATATGAGGCAAAAATGCGATGTCAATATTAGAAAACGGTTGCTTTTTTTTCGTAGGCTGGTTCTAGATATTTATGGGCGGTATTCAAAACCTGAGAGATGCCTAACCAAGCTTGTTTTTTTTTGTCTATTTCAAACGATTCAAGTAGAAATGATGAAAATGTGGAGTAAATGTCAATATGGGACAGATTTCCTCGTTTCAGAATATTTTTTTATTTTGCCGCTAAAATTGCACTGGATGCCTTTGATGGCACCGTATTTGTGACTCCAACATGACAAGTTCAAAACATGATGTAATGGCGCATTTCTTCAAAGGCAGGAGGCACATCGTCCACCATCAAGACTTCATTTCACCGGCAACATCCCATTCCGACCTGCAACACCTCAACTCACTTAACCAAAGCGTACTAAGGCCATGTTGATTTGATTATATGGATGACATCCCCTGGGAACCCCAAAGCTGATGCGCGCGTGCGAATAAAAAAACTTTTGCAAAAAAAAGAGTTGCTTTCATTATGAAATCTACATGGTCATGAAGGTTGAACAAATGACACAGAGTATGGTATAGCGAATAATCTACTCTTCAAATTCATTTCTATACATTTTCGTATTTCTCATTCTACGACATTTGGATTTTTTGTGACTTGCGGCATATATTTGCTCATTTTGCAACTGTTTTGCACGATTTACAGTATGGCCGAAAACTTTTCTTTTGGAAACGGCCGAAAATTCATATGCTAGCGTGGATGTCATCCATATAATCAAATCAACATGGCCTAATTCATAACGTAGCGGCCATTATCAACCTACGGGTGTCCCCTGGTAGAAATGGCCACTTACAGGCACCCGGGTGTGTGGTTACGCCGAGATTAACAGGAGTTTTCACCGCCTATTATACACGACACACCGGGCTCATCAATTCTCCATCTCTCTATCTTGTCTTGTCAGTTAGCCAGTTCCAAGAACCGTTTTAAAAGTCAATGTGCCGGGTAATTTTATTGCGTTTATCTTGTCACGTAGAAATTATTTATAAACGTTTCAATACGTCATTTGCTGACAATCGCTAGCTTTTCATGTTTCCATCAGCCCAAGGGTTATTTTACCGTGACGTCTGCGTACTGCATTAACTTTGTTGGACAAAGAGGGACATCCTTGGCACATGATCGTGAATGTGCTACGTTGACGCAAGGAGGTTTAAAATCAAACTCCTTGGTTGACGCAATGGGTGTTTTGATCTTTGATGGTCCCTTTGTGTGAAAAAGACTTTCCACATGTTTGTTACCACACGCAAACCGAAACGTGACAACTTAAGTACCCTGGATTCACAAATTTAACCTTGGGTTTTGACACAGAAGACACGTGAGCATACAGATGCCTAAATATGCATAAAACATGCGTTGGTTAAACATATAAGCTATCTATGCAGCAGTGTATCTCTGAAACACGTACAGTCATTCACTTAAGCTTGTGATTGTAAAGAATATTGCAGATTTTTTTTTTCAAAATTATCATCAACACTTAACCTATACACTGTAGAAAGCTCTAGGTGAGATAACATTTTGTGTTGGATCTAAAGTTTTAAGTTTTAACTCTAAACATGTAACTACCAACACAGATGAGCTTCCATGATATCATCACTTATAATTTACACAATATCATGCACTGTCTCTTTCTAATAAAGTTTACCAAGAATGCCTACTATACTTGTTCTTCTACCTCTAGTTATTATAGTAGGCGGTAAAATTCTCCCAACGACATTGACATTGCTTATCTTCTTCCCGTATTTCTTTTCATTATGCAAACAGGGACTTTAAGATACTCTCTTATTTTTATGAAGTACGCAACTCACGACCCTCACCTAATAACTATAGCTTGTACCGTTCATCAGTATATTGAATGTAGGAGGTGGATTTTCCCCGCTAAGACCTTGGCAGTGTTTCTTCTCTTCCCATATATCTTTCCATGATGTAGAATGCGAAGTTCAAGTAATATTCTGCGGGCGATGAAAGTTGAAGATAGAAGACTCCACGCCTACAGTAATCGTAGGAATCACAGCGTATGAGGCGATTCAGGAGTGATTTTCGAGGCTGATGGCATATTTATGGCCTGTTGTAATAATCAGGAGTCGTAAATGAAGTCAACTTGGTCGATATATCATTGCGATAGAATTAGTATGTAGTATTACAGGGAGATTCCTCAGTCAGATTCCTTATTGATGGCAAGCAAAATGAAGCTGGTGAAATAATAATAATAATAATGTTAATAATAATGTTAATAATGTTAATAATAATGTTAATAATAATGTTAATAATAATAATAATAATAATGTTAATAATAATAATAATAATGTTAATAATAATAATAATAATGTTAATAATAATAATAATAATGTTAATAATAATAATAATAATGTTAATAATAATAATGTTAATAATAATAATAATAATAATAATAATAATAATAATAATAATAATAATAATAATAATAATAATAATAATAATAATAATAATAATAATAATAATAATAATAATAATAATAATAATAATAATAATAATAATAACAGGATTTGTATTGAAACGATTATATAGTGTGGGTAAGGTCCTAAAACTACACCCTAACCCCCTCCCCACGTTAAATCATGCATCGACATACCTGGCGAAAAGTATTGAAAATTACATTTTGAAGTACATGATTTGAAGTGGCAATGTCAAATTGGTTTATTCTGCGATATAAGAAGAAAATGAAAAAGAGCATTTCATAACCGACGTGCGTGCTAAGCTTGCGAAAATAGTTAGGACGTGAAATAACAAGTATCCACGGAACTAAATAATGGATTGACTTTTAAATTACAACAGCTCGCCGCGTTGGGATAGCAGACGTTATGCGGAATATACATATGACAACCTTGTTCCAAGGACATGGCTCGATAAGCGATGTAAAGCTCTCGGGGACACGAAACAGCTTTGCGTGTGCACGCTTGGCGTTAACGCTTACACAGAGGTTAAATCTCTATTTAACCATCTTGGTTCAAACGGTATGGATTCATATCAACTGTGGAGACAATAGAGTACTGATCTTAACACTTATGTAATTTTATGGATGACAATGAGAATTAGATTTCTGCGGCTTTTCGTCCTGCCCTTGCACATTTATTTCTTTTGTATTATTTTGTATAATTTTTCATTATGTATGTATGTGTTAAATGAAAATAAATAAATAAATAAATAACATCAGGGCACGCATTGATTTTTGCCTGGTTTAAAAAACAGAGAATCACCTCCTCCGAGGCTCTGGCCTGGGTGCCATCTCCCATATTCCATGGTAGCTAGCAACAGTAGGGAGCCGGCGGTAACTACGGAGGACGGATTTGTACTATCACAAATTCACAATACCAGATTTGTATTCCTGTGGTTTAGCAGCATTTTCTTGCCTGGAATTTTTTATCAGCCTGCAAGCACTATTTTGGGGGTCTTCAGAGGATGCCATCCATAAAATTCAGTCGTAATTCTTAAAAAACGTTGAATAGAGCTTCGTGTTTATTTGGATTCACCACTGGTACAAGATAACGCAAGTGGGGGGGGGGCACCTTTGCAAGTTGCCCTCCCTGACGGACACTACAATAAAATACAATATCAATACAATATCATACAATACACTTAAATGAATGAAGAATGGCTCAAACATACATTATATACAGTGTAATACATACATTAAACATCAATAACTAATGATAAAAACTATACGTGATACTAATGTTACTTGGAGTATTGTTATAGATCAGAACCTTGCCTCTGTCTCCTCTCCATATCTATCTGCTATTGACATCCATGTTCCAGCATGGTAACAGACATCTTTGCCCATTTTCGGCATGTCAGATAGCAAAAAAAAAATGTTTTTATTTACAAAATC